ATGTGTACACAAGCCCACATCTGCTTACAGTTTGGCAGGTTTTTCTCCCACAAATAATGTTTTTATTAAGATAAAATGCACAATATAAAATTTACCATCTTAGTCATTTTTCAGTGTACAGTCAGTGATATTAGAAGAATTTCTAACATTGTACAATCCTCTCCTTTCCCATGCTCCATAACTCTCTTCATCATGCACAACTGAAAACTCTACCCATGAAATATTAACTCCCCATTCTCCCTACCCCCTCAATGGCACTCACCATTCTTTCTCATAATTATGAGAACTTTAAATGTCTCACATAAGTGAAACCAGATATTATTTGTCTTTCTTTCTGGCTTCCTTCACTCAACATAGTATCTTTAAGGGTCCACCATTTGTAGCCTATGTCAGAATCTCCTTCCTTTCATTTTTTTCCCTCAAAATTAACTTACATTTTTAATGAAGTGCTATTGTTCTATATCCTTGTGAATATTTTGATAGCATAGGATTTCTAACCTCACCATAGTTCCCCCACCACCAAAAACACCCAGAGTTCTTCATTATAGTCCATTGTGTGTGCCCACACCCCTACAACCATTCTGTTCCCTCTTCTCTTTTACAGGGTGAATAATATTCCACTGTATGTTTGTAAACCATTTTGCTTATCCACTCGTCAATCAGTGAATACTTGGTTTGCCCCATATTGATACTCCATAGTGGAGTATTATTTTGTGAATAATATTAATAACATAATATTATAATTAATAATAATTGATGATATAATATTATCAGTATTATTCACAAAATAATAGTCCAGTACACATGAATGCATAGTTATCTCTTCAAGGCCCTGTTTTCAATGTTTTTGGGTACATATCCAGAAGAATTGCTGTGTTATATACTTTATTTTATATTATATAAAATAAAAATGTTAGGAACGGTCATGCTGTTTTTCACAATGATGCTACCTTTTTAATATTCTGGTTATAAATATACAGTGACTATACATTCATTTATACTTTACATAGTGTACCACAAGGGCACAAGGTTCCAGTTTCTCTGAATTTTTACCAAAATTTGTTATTTTCTTGTTATTGTTGTCATTGTAGTCATTCTAAAGGATTAAGTTGGTATCTGTTTGTACTTTAGATTTGCAATTTTTTTTAAGATTTGTTTTTAGGGCCCTCCCTGGTGGCGCAGCGGGTTAAAGCATAGCACTGAGAAGCTATGGCCACTTCCGCATGAGTTCGATTCCCGCCTGCTCCGGAGGTGACCACATGGCGTGGCAGACCTCTCCTGACCCGCCCGCTGCTCCCCTCAGCAGTGTACTTCATCAATCTGCCTGCTCTGCTCCCCACTCTGTCTATGGTGAAGCCTCTTGCCGCCCCTGAGTCTCTGGCCTGTACCCCAGTTCTGTATGCACAAATAAACACAAATCTTTAAAAAAAAAAAAGATTTGTTTTTATTTATGAATACAAGATCTGGGGTACAGGCCAGAAGTACGGGAGTGAGGAGATTCACCAGAGACAGAGTCAGGAGCAGAATACATGGATTGACTGAAATACACTGCTGAGGGGAACAGCGAGACAGACAGGAGAGGTTTGCTACCCCATGTAAGTCAGTTCCCTGGCTGGGGACTGAACTCATGCTGCAGTGGCTGAGCATAACTTCACAGTGCTGGGCTTAACCCACTGTGTCACCTGGGAGGGCCCCATTTTTAAATCTTTAGAAATGTCTATTCAAGTCATTTAATTAGAGGACTTGACATTCAATCAGAATGTTTGTTCTTATTGAGTTTCAGAGGCTCTCTAATATATTCTGGATATTTTTCTAATATCAAACTGATTTATAAATATTTTCTCTAAAAACTGCCTTTTTAACTCTGTAGATAAGGTTGTTTTTTTTTTTGTTTTGTTTTGTTTTGTTTTATGCATTCAGAACTGGAATACAGGCCAGAGGTGCAGGGGTGGTGAGAAGCTTTACTAGAGACAGAGCTGGGGGCAGAACAGGCAGATCAACGAAGTACACTGCTGAGGGGAACAACTTTTGGATCAGGAGAGGTCTGCCACACAATGTGGATCACCTCCAGGGCCAGGGATCGAACTCACATTGAATCGGCTGCAGCCAGCTTGCAGTGCTGTGTCCTAACCCACTGAGCCACCAGAAAGGCCTGTTGATAGGTTCTATTGATATACAGTTTTTAAATGTTCACAAATCATATTTATCCATTTTTTTCTCTTATTACCTGTGTCTTTTGTGTCATATCAGAAAAATAATTGCCAAATCCAAAATTGTTGAGTTTTTGTCTTTAGTTTTTCTTCGAAGAGCGATACTGCTGTGGGTTTTACATTTTGGCCTTGATCCACTTTTTGTTAACTTCACAATATGGTGTTAGCAGAGGCCCAGCTTCTTATTTTTTGCATGCTTGATGTCTGTGGCTTCATATTTTGCATGATATCCAGTTTTTCCAGTACCTTTTGTTGAAAAATACTATTCTTTCCCTGTTGGAAGGTCTCTGCATCCTTGTCAAAAGTCCCACATACACAAATATTTCGGGATTCTGTCTAAACCATGACCTATATATCTGTCCATAAGCCAGTAGCACATTGTTTGATTACTATAATTTTGTAGTAAATTGCTTTTATAAGTATTTTACATTTTATAAAATGTAAATACATTTTATATATTATAAGGATTTTTTGAGATATAACTGACAGATGACATTAAATTAACTTTAGGTATACACAAGTGTGATATCTGCATGTGTTACAAAATTAGTCTACTCTCTGGTTCAACATGGCAGAGAGGACACTTTATTTAATTCAGTTTGCTAATATCTTATTGAGGATTTTTACATTAGTGTTCATCAGGGATATAGGCCCATACTTTCTTGTGGCATTCTCATCTGCGTTTGGTACTGGGCTAATGCTGACCTTGTAAAATGAATTTGGAAGTGCTCCCTCCTCTCCAATTTTTTTTTGAAGAGTTTGCAAATGATTAATTTTTAGAATGCATAGTAGAATTCATCTGTGAAGTCATCAGGTTCTGGCCTTTTTTCTATTCATAAGTTTTTGATTACAAGTTCAGTCTCCTTACTAGTAATCAGTTTGTTCAAATTTTCTATTTTTTCCAAGATTCAGTCTTGGTCGACTGTGTAATTGTGGGAATTTATCTGTTTCCTCTAGGTTGTCAGATAAATAGATAGAAAGATAGATCTATGTATATGTGTGTGTGTGTGTAACTTCAGAGAAGTATCATATGATCCTCTATATATCTGTGGTATCTGTTGAGTCCTTTCATTTTTGTTCATAGTGAGCCTATCTAAAGGATTGCATATTTTCTTTATCTTTCAAAAAAATTAATTCTTAGATCTACTCATCTCTTCTAAAGTGTTTTTAGTCACTATTTTATTTATTTCTGCTCTAATTTTTGCTATTTCCTTCTTTAGCTCATTTTCTTATTTTTGCATTCCCTTGAGTTATTAGTTTATATTGTTTGAGATTTTCTTGTTTTTTAACCCATGCATTTATCACTATGAATGTTCTTCTACAACAGCTTTTAATATATCCCCAAATTTTAGCATATTGTATTGCCATTTTCATTTGCCTCAAGGTATTTTTCAAATTTCCTTTCCCCCCACCCCCTTTTTTCTTTTTAGACATACCAATTGGCACTTTTAGACCTTCTGGGTCTGGATATCTGTCTCCTTCCCCAGATTAGGAAAGTCATTATTTCTTCACATAAGTTTTCACCCCTTTCTTTCTCTAGTATCCTTATGGGACTCCTATAATGTGAATGATAGTCACTTGATGTTGCCCCCAAATACCTTAAATTATCTTTTTTCTTTTTGCACTTCTGAGTGGTTGCATTCCTCCACCTTATCTTTGAATTCACTGATCCTTTCTTCTGTTTAATGTAGGCTGCTGTCAAATCCAGTTAGTATATTTTTTAGGTCACTTAATATAGCTTCAGCTCTATGTACTTGGTACTTTCATTTTTTTACCTTTTTTTTTTTTAATGCATACAAAAACTGGGGCCTAAGCCATAGATGTGGAGGAGGGGGTGAAAGACTTCATTGGAAACGGAGTGGGGAGCAGAACAGGCAGATCTAGTGAAATACACGGGAATTTTATACTGGGTAAATATGTGCAAGCACCATGTGGGTCGGCTCCCTGGCCAGGAGCCCAACAAACTTAGGCCACCGTGGCTGGTGATAGTTTGATAGCACTGAGACTATGCCACCAGAGAAGCCCTATTTTCTATCTTTTTGTTGAAGTCCTCACTGTGTTGATCTCTCCTTCTCACAAATTTAGTGGGTAACTTAATGACAATTACTTTAAACTTTTTATCAGGTAAATGCCATCTCCATTTCATTAAGGTTTTTCCTCTGTGACTTTATCTTGTTCTTCTGTTTTCAAACACATTCCTCTATATCTTCAAGATACTTGACTCACTCTCTGTATTGGTTTCTAGGTATTAGATGAAATAATCATCTCTTCCAGTCTTGAAAGAGTGCCTCCAATCAGAAGTGAACATTATCATTCAGCCCCATCCAAACCTTTGGATGTTTCTGGGATAGAGTTGAGTTTATTAATACTTCTTTTCTAATTTCTTAAGTTGTAAAGTTAGCCTGTTTATTTGAGATACTTCTTGATTTTTAATATGCCTACAGTGATAAATTACCCCCTTTGTATAATCTTTATTTATTGTAGAATTATTTATTTTGACAAGCAATTTTGTTACAATTTTATACTTTTATTAAAATAGGGAGGTGGGTGAAGAAGAAAAATAGGCAAAAAAGGACACTGTATTATGGCAACAAGATTTACTTGAAATTTTCTTAGGAGACACTGATGATGATTATTTTATTTCTGTGAACAAGACCAGCCTGAATTGCTAGTAAACTCTTCTGGAAGATACAATCTTCAAGAAACTCATCTTTCAGACAAATATGAATTGAAATTGAATTTCTTGAGAACTTTGTTTTCTCTCCATTTTTTAAAGTCCATGCCCTCATGAGGAATTTTATTCCACCACATTGCTTCATCCATTCTCCCCAGTTAGCATGCTTATTCACATCTGTGGCAATCCTCTTCACTTTCAGAAATAGACACCTGTTTTTTAAAAATAGGATACAATTAATAGTGGGAATTAATTAGATATTAAAAAATAATGTTTGTCATTCTGAGAGATGTTACGTTTACCATGATCACAAAGGTGGGAACTGAGGAGACTACACAAAACTGTGGACATAAGGAAAATCTCAGGGACCTGTGACCCAGGGGTCAGAAAAGTAGATGTTAACATAACTATTTATTTTTAAGATTCATTTTAATTATTTATGCCGACAAGAGCTTGGGTGTTGGCCAGAGGTGCAAGGGGGTGAGACAATTCACTAGAGACAGAGTGGGAAGCAGAATAGGCAGATCTACTGAAATACACTGCTGAGGGGAGCAGTGGGAAAGACAGGAGAGGTCTGCTGCTCCATGTGGATTAGTTCCCTGGCTGGGGGATCAAACTCACGCTGAAGTGGCTGCCAATAGCTTCACAGTGCTGAGACTTAACCCCTTGTGCCACCAGGCAGGCCCTACACTACTACTTTTTAAAGCCCGCACAGTGCTGGGCCCTAGAATGTGCTATAGAACCATTAGTTCCTTGACTGCTCTCCAAGAGAAAACAGGAGCTCATGATAGCAGTGTCTCACTCTGCCTTGCAATTCTCATATGAAGACATCAACTAGACACACAGCTTTAAACAAATGTGGAAAGTTATGCTTTAATTTTCCAGCTAAAAGGGTTAAAAGGATCCTGTGGGTGCAAAAACCATTTCTACCCGAATAGACAAGTGTGTTTTGAATATTTCCAATGGGTCCAGATAAGATTTAAACCAAAGGAATGAATGTCTAACAACTGAACTTCACCCGTCATTAAGAGACATTATTCTTTAACCAATGAGAGGGTACTTCAGATCTTAGAGAGCATATCACTTTGTCCTGGGTGAGTATCCAGAGCTCAGGCCAGGGCTACAGTCATGCAGAAATTTCCAGGAGCCTGTGAGACACTCTCAGCTGAAGTTTTTAATGCTAATGAGTCCTGGAGCATGATTATTTTTAACTTTTAGCTGAAAGCTTCTTTTAAATTTGTTATGAAATATTTATTTTTATTTATTTTATTTTATATTAAGTTTTAGTTATTTTACTAGAATATGCACTAGTGTCTGTCATTCTGGGTTGATTTTCCAGGATACACAGTATATTTTTTTACATACATTAAATTGCCTTTTTTTTATCAGAATAATTTTTTCAATGTCTATTTCTTTGTATTCTGTTATACTCAATTGCTTTGATTTTCTTCTTCAAGAATTTACATAAATACATCACATATACACAAACACATTTTGCTGATGTTCTTTATCACTTTCTTTTAAATCCATTTTCATTTATTTTATAATTTTAATTTAAAACTTTCCTTCTTTCCACTATTTTTTTTCCTTGAGTATAATCTATAGTATTTATTAACCAACATGTTTCTTCTAGTTCCATCACCATTCTAAAAGAGTCTTTCTTTTATTTCTCCTTGATTTTATAAGCTCTGCTTTCAAATATTCCTGCTTACTGTTTTCCAATATTATTATTCCTGAGTTATTTTAATTCTAATATACGTGTTCTTTAGTAGTTTCTCTTCATTTTCTTAATTCCTCTTAGCTTGTTCAAAATAATATAGTTTTCCTGTATGTGGGGCATGCCTTTCTAGTTTGTCTTGTTGCATTAAAGAATGTCACTATGCAAATAATTTTCTTTTTATTTTCAGATAATCATTTCGAACAGGTTTGACTATTTTTCTTTTCTATTGATAATATTTCAGCAGGCTGTTAGCCTGCACTGGAACAGAGGGCCGGTAGTCCGCGGAGTTTTACTGGCTTCAAGGTTCCAGAGCTCCCTCTTCTGTCATTTCTTTGAAGTGTGAAAAATTCTCTGCTCGTTGAGGTATCTCTTTTCCTCCTTTGCCCCATTATTCTTACTTAAAACAAGGTTTCTGTTCTAGAAATTCTGTTCTGTTCTAGCGTTCTACACTAGAATTATGAATTGAGATGGCTCCAGGACCTCTGGCTTCCCAGGACTCTTAGTGCGGTCTCTTGCATTCATGTAAAAGTGTAGTGTACTCCCAATTTGGTCGTATGTTCTTTAGGAGTATATATCTTCAATGTATATAAATAAAAAGCATTTCTAGCAATATCCAAATCACATATAATCCATAAGGAGAAGAAAACTACCCAAAAGAATAATGTGCAAAGAATAATCTGCAGAGGAGGAAATCTGAATGTCAAATAAATATGAAAACTTACTCCATCTCAATGGTTATTGTAGATGAAAATTAAAACATGAAATAGAGTTTCATCTGAGTCAGCACTAAAGACATTACAATAACCTAATAAAATAATTACCAACAAAGAGAATTAAATCATAGCCTCTATTAGAAAACCATCACCCCACATGTATTCAGAATAAAGGAAGCCATAAAAATATCTGATAAGAAGAAGGAATTACTCACTTCTGGATTATTTACTTGAAGAATATAAAAATACTAATTTGTAGAGCTACATACACCCCCAAGCTTACTGCAGCATTATTCATAATAGGCAAGAGCTGGAAACAACCCAATGTCCATCGACAGATTACTGAGTAAAGAAGATGAGAATATGTGTACAACTTAGCTATGTGAAGGAAAGAAGATGAAATCCTGTCATTTGTAACTACACGCATAAGCCTAGTAGTGAAAGAAGTCAGGTGGAAAAAAGAAACTGTGACTTTGCTCATCATTATAAAAAAAAAACCAAATGAATGAACTAAGTACATCAAAAATAAACCTTTAGACCATAATGCCAAATGAGTGGTTATCAGAAGGGAAATGGAAAAAAGAGGTGGTAAATCAGATAAAGTGGATCAATGGTATACTAAGTAGCTGAAAGGCTCTAAAAGCTTAATGGAAATTTACTTGATGAATAAGAAGGCCACCTATGAACTAGGTTTCTTTCTGAGAATTTTCAACCTTCCTTTCATGAATACCTGCCTAAGGAATTTTGAACTTGACTGGCCAAACCCCCCCCCCCAGTTGCATAAGCCACTTTTGGGCAATTTATTTCTAGATAGATGATGATGATAATGACTGACAGGTTCAGAGACAGTCATGTATATGTATATATGATTTTTCTACTAGTACTGGTTCTAGTTTTCTGCTGGAACACTCCCTGATACAATGACAATACCAGATTATATTATCTATTTACTTTCACATCACATTTGTAAATACCATTAAAACAGGAGTGGTGCCTTTTAACAGAGTTAAGGGGTAATTCCTTACTTAGTACATTATAGGGTTGGAAAAGGAAGGAGAAGAAAGACTTCCAGAGTCTTTCAGGAAGTTCTGCTGAAAGCCAAATCATAACAGCAGACTCCATAGAGAAATCATTCTTTTGTTAAGTCACAAAGTGGAGTATTTATCCACTTTTTAAGGTTGTAGTGAACAATGAAAGAAAAAAACTAATTTTTAATATATGTATAGCTAAATTCAAATGTTATTCGATTAAATAAAAACCAAAATCTGATTCTAGAAAGCAGTCATTTCTGTGCTAAAAATTAAGTTTCAACCAAAAGGCTACCAGTGTAGTTTAGTGGCAATCAAATTTAATATTTAAAGGAACTATAAATATTAATATCTAATAGCCCATAATCAAATACTTAGGAGTTACATTCCATTTTTGTTCCAGTGGTACAAGAAAACAGAGTTCCATCTGATTCAACACAAGAGATATTACAGTAATCTAATGTAATAGCAAAAGAATGAGTCAGAATCTTGCTTTCTATTAGAGAAAAGACATTACCTTGTGGGTGTTTCAAAAAAGAAAGCCAGAAAAACAATCTGATGACACGAGAGAATGACATCAAAACTTTTAAAAGAGTTGGAGACTGAAGTTTTAAAAATACACACTTTTTAAACTATGCCTTAAACCTATTTTTTCAAACTAAATTCTGAAGGTTTATTACATCAGCACATCTGGGTATTCATAAAGACATAAAGGCCCCTCTCCGCTTAATTAATCTGAATCTCCAGGGTTGGTCAAGTCTAGCACTGAATAGTCACTACACTCCCCAGGTGATTCTGATGCACAGCCAGTTTGGGGAAGTAACTTAAAACTGTCAGGGTCTTAACAACACATTTTTTTCCCTTCATCATGTTTAGTTTCCTGCACAAGGCTTTCTCGTGATTTCTCTTACCTTCCAGCAAAATTTCTGTGTTTCCTTTGATCTATTAACTCATTTAACCAGAGTATGTTATTTTACAGAACCATGAAATTGAGTTGGTAGAAGAACAGAAGAGTGGAGGAGACACAATCTTTTAGTTCTCACCATAGTGGATCTCTCGTTCCTGCTCTGTTTTAGTAGCTCAAGTATTCTCTTCAACAAAACCACAGGCATAGTTATATTCCAATGCAAATCTGCATGTAATCTACAACCTGGCATGTAAGATTTAGGGACAGAGTTTTCCAAGAGGGCATCATAGTTTTAAAAGATTTGAAATAAGTATTTTCTTCTTGACATGTTATTCTTTAGACAAACTTTGATTAAGAGTAAGACACTAGACTAGGTTCAAATCCCTGTTGCAACACAAATGTGTCTTAAAAGATTGCTTCCCCTTTCCATATCTAGCATCTCTCAAAGGTAGAGTGAAGATACAATATCTCATACAAAGTAAGAAAAATAGCTAAAAACAATTGGAGTGCTAAAGAGAAGACAAAAGTTTCTTATCCATTAAAGGAATACTGGTCACTACAACAGCTCCAAGTCAAAATAGGGCCTATGGTGAGTAATAAAACCACCACACTGATTGTTCTAGTAAAAAATATATATATATATGTATATATTTTTTTTAAAGATTTATTTATTTATGCATACAGAAATGGGATACAGCCAGAGGTGCAGGGGCAACAAGAGGATTCACCAGAAAGAATGGGGAGCAGAACAAGCAGATTGATCAAGTACAAAGCTGAGGGGAGCAGCGGGAGAAACAGGAGAGGTCTGCTGCGCCACGTGGGTCACCTCCATGGCAGGGATCAA